TCGACCCAATATTAGGTATTTGGAAAGCGAAATCATACCTGAAGGAGTCGGTGCACCGCCACCTCAGCTCGATCCTGCGGTCTACCCTCGAAACGCCGATTCTCAGCATCGGGCATGACCGAATGTAGATACCTAGCGAGATGAACGGGATCGGCATCCTTCCCGAAGTCAGTAGGAGCTGCCACAACGTCGTCCGGGTCGACAGCTCGGGACCGCTTGCGAGACCCCACTTCGTCACGAGGGGGATCTGGGTGGGTCTGGGAAGATCGGCCGGTGAGGGGTGATACGACTGGACCAGTCGTCTGTCGGCCCGAATGGTCAGTAGAGCCAGACGTCTGTCGCCCCGAGCGTTTGGGGGTCGATGTGACGTGGCCGGAAGGAGGACGTGAGCCATCGCGCAAAGGATAGTCAGCGGTGGAATGGGTCGAGTGGTGTAGGGTCGACTGGCTCTGGCTGCGAGTACGCACCGCAGGTCGGTCCGCAAGGTCAGGGTTCGACGGACCCTCGCCGCGCCTCTTCTTGGCTAAGGCCTGTCTCTTTTGCAAAGTCGCCTGTTTGATGATGTCATCTGAAAAATAACAAGGTACAAATGGTCAATGCAAGTATATCCCAAGTAAGAAAGCAATAGTCGGAGGAAGAAGAGCAACCATAATCGACGCATACAATCCCACATATAGGGCCGACGCGGTCGACCCGCCCGAACAAACGTATGGGGGCGACACGGTTGACCCGCATGATCTTAAACTTAGGGTCGACTAGTTCGGCCCCTAAAAAAAAAAAAAAAAAAAAAAAAAAAAAAAAAAATCGAGGGGTCGAATGGGTTCGACCCTAGAATGGTCAACATGTAAGGTGTTGACGGTGCACAAGCGCCGCGGTCGACCCGACTTAATGTTCAACGGTCGAACATAATCGACAAGGGCGATGGTTGGCACGGTCGATATAATTTACTTGAGAATACGCGGATAACCCCGGCAAGGGCTCCCATGGGTCGATTAGTTCGACCCGCACACAACAAAAAATAGTTTGAACGATTATTATGTTCAATGAACTATTTGCAAAAAAA